CTTGCTACTTTGGGCATCCCTGAGTTGTCTCTCCTCACCTGTAACCCTGGGGCTGTCTCTCCTCACCTGTAACCCTGTTTCTGTGTTACTTCTGGGTTTATATTTTGTTTCCTCATCACTCATGGAGTTTTGTTTTTTCCTTCAAATTAACATTGTACTTATAACCTCTCAGCTCAGTTCTGATTAGTTTATACCAGTAGATAAATGCTTTTTAACTTTTTAAATCAATTTTCCCAGAGGAACTGCTCTAAACAAATTCAATCTCTTGGTTTCCAACTATTTTCAAAATAATTAAGAGGTTCCCTTGGAAATCTTCACTCTTTCAATGATCTCCCATAGTTCTTTTTGGGAGCTCTGGTAGCATAGTGCTTAAGGCACTTGACTGTTAACCAGAAGGCTGGCAGTTCAAACCCACCAGCCACTCCTTAGAAGGAAGATGGGGCAATCTACTTCTGCAGTGATACTGCCTCGGAAATACAAGGAGGGGTCGCTATGAGTCGGGTCCGACTCAACAGCGCATAACAACAACAACAAGATGGTTCTTTTCATATCTTTAGGAAACACTGGGTAAATGCTTTGGAAAACAGTCACAATAATGATAAGTTTAATTACTTGGGTAATGACATTAAACCCTTTCAATTTCCTTCTGAAGACAATATATACTACTATAATAAACCATTTTCCTATTCCAAAGCTTGGGGTAGCTACAGAAAAATAGAGATAAGTGTTTCTTTAAACAGGATAGTTGTACTTGTGGGCTTCCAATAGTAATGTTCAGTGACCACTAATTTCATATGCTACCAGGCAAAACTGTATTTTATTCATTATGGAGTGAAGCACATTTTGAAACTCTTGTATATGACTGCATGAAACTTAAGGGCAAACTGATATTTGTCTGAGCTCTGCAGGATAAAAATTTACATGCATTCTTTGAAAAAAATTATTTTTGCTATTCAATTGGTTTAACAAATTACAGGATTTCTCCTGGCTTTGTCATTTGGAACTTCAAGCTGCTTAGTATCCACAGGGAGAATTATCAGAGATTATGCAGTACTCAGAGTGATTGAAAAGAGAGGACTGCACTCTGGTACATATTCATAAAGCACAATCTTAACTCATTGAATGCAATGGAAATCATAACACAGCTCTTTTTCCATCTTGGCAATCCTATTATGAGATGGGATAGCATATCCCAAAATGCAGAAGAGATATCTTCAGGGACTTACATGAGGGTTGGATCTACACTTGGGCATGTCCTGAGAAATGACAAGAAAGAGGGATTTATTTCATATAATTCACTGAGACTGAATATTATTTTATGGATGAAGAGACACAATTAGAAAATTACAATGACCTTTTGCATTTAAAAACAACAACAAAAATAAAATAAAATAAAAAATAGTATTACCAATAGTGAAATGCTTTTCCTAAGAGATATGGAGATGTGTTTCTTATATACATAAGAAAGTTATATGTAAAACAAGTGTTTGCTTTTAATATTTAAAATTAAATAAAGAGTAAAAGCAATTTATAATTTAAAAGAGAGTTTTACCAAATACAGTTAGCTCTGCTGGATCGCTGTCTCTTTCTCCCACCATATTGGTGCCAACACAGGTATACATCCCTGCATCACTTTTCCTGGTATTGGAGATCATCAGTTTTCCACCACGAATCTGTTAAAAATCAAAAAAGAAAATGGAAAAGAAATAGGGAAGGAACATTCATTAATAAATAGTTTTGAATATTTATGTACAATATTTCCTTCCCAAAAGCAAATAGCTTCATGTCTAAGACATAAAACTCTCCCACTACTTTTTGTAATTGCATGTGTCCTTTCTTTGAAATTTACACTCAATATACTCTTTCATATTCCCTTGATAGGTGAATACAAAGTCATTCATTAGATAGCATGTACTGAAGCAATAGTGCCAAAATAAAATAAGGTGGGCTTCATTACATGCAGGACCTAACTAATTTTTACATTCTCTAAGAAATGGAGAGTCAAAAAGACAAGAAATTTCCCTTCTCATCAAATATTTGTTACTACTTTGATTCAGACCACCAATACTGTTTTTTTTTTTTTTTTTTTCTGTGTTACTTCTGAGTTTATATTTTCACTAAGGCAGCTTTCTTCTCCCTTTTTGGGTCTTATATCCATTCTTGTGATTGCTCCCACTAAATCTCAATGATCTTTCTTCACAATGAGATTCTATTGGATGAATTGCTATTGGAACATTAGAGCTCTACTTGTGGGTAATATAGGGAGCTCTGATGGCGTAGTGGCTAAGGCATTTTACTGCTAACCAGAAGGCAGATGATTTAAGCCTACCAGCCACTTACCTGAAGGAAAAGTGGGCAATCTACTTCTGTAGAGATATAGCCTCAGAAACCCAAGGAGGGGTCACTATGCATAGGAATTGACTCCACTGCAATGAGGGTTTTTTTTTTTTTGGTAGATAATATAAGGAACTTTGGTGGTGTAGTGCCTAAAGCATTTGATTGCTAGCCCAAAGTTTGGTGGTTCAAACCCACTAGCCACTCCGCAGAAGGAAGACTGGGCAATCTACTTCCGTAAAGATTTACCGCCTCAGAAACCCAAAGTGTGTTGTTATGAGTCAGAATTGACCAGATGGCAGGGAGTATGGTTTTGGTTTTTGGATAATATAATGAAATCCAGCTGACTCAGAGGAAGTCATCAAATATTTAATAACAACCTCTATGGGCTGACAGTGCTGTAGGCACTTGGGATACAGTAATAAAAAAAATATTAAAAATCTCTGTCTTCATGGAGCTTATATTTCAAAGTTTGGTATTATTGTCTTTTGTCTCATCTTAACCATATTTAATAGAGTTTAGTGGAAGAGGGTAGATTGAATACAAACAAACAAAATATATATATATATATATATATATATATATATAGGAGCTCTGGTAGCATAGTGCCTAAGGCACTTGACTGCTAACCAGGAGGCTGGCGGTTCAAACCCACCAGCCACTCCTCAGAAGGAAG